GTCTTTAATTAGCAGTGTCACTCCCAAAGCAGCAGATATGGGCTTTTTAGTGATATTCTCTAATGAAGGAGATGATTCACCTACAGAATTCAGGGCCTTAAATCTGTTAAAGGATCCTTTTAAAGTGGTCTTGTTTTTAGATTTCATAGGTCGACCCCTTCCTTTTTTAGGAATAATTGAAATTTTGGAACTATTGCCACTAGGGGAGACAGTCTGTTCTTCAGTAAAATTAATGAGTGGAATAGAAGATTTTGAGGTATTTCCGTCCTCATTAGAAACATAAAGGAGATTGGAGTTATTTGAGGTAGTAGGGTCAAGGACAGTAGTGACATTTTGAGGCACAAAAAGTATAGGAGAAATGCAAACTTCACATGAAACTGGAGGAGAACAAACTATGGCAAATTTGGCAGTAGAATCAGATGGAGTCATTGATGAAGATTTAGTGATCTCATTAGAGTTAGGAACAGATTCAGTCTGATCAACATTGACAGCATTATCAGAATTGGCCATTGAAGTGCTTGTTGCTTCTTTAATTGGTTATTTATCTTTAGGAGGAATCACATTTGTTTCGAAGGAACCAGTAGAATGAGGAACTTGGGAACTAGATAAACTTGAGGGATTGTTTTGCACAGCAGTAGTTTCCTTTTTCCTCCATAATTGTAAATTAGCAGGAGTTGGGTCTTTTGAAGTTAAACAAGCTTTATCAAAATGACCAAACTTGTTACATTTAAGACAGCTATGAGGAAGCCAATGAACTTCAACAAAGACTGTAGTAGACTGCCCATTAGCAAGAATTACTTCTATAGTTTTAGGGATTACATCCTTTACTCCATTCTCAACACACATTTTGGTAAATTCTAACCTAGATTTTGAGATAGTAACCGAGTCCATAGTTAATGGGTTCCCTATGGCACTTGCTATGTAGCTTAGGCCCTCTCTCAAAAATAATTCGAGAGGAACATTGAATAGATGAACCCACAGAGGGAATTTAGAAAGATCAAATTGAAGTCGTTTGGAGTTAGACTCCCATTTCCTTAAGATTAGAGGTTTATTCAATATATGCCAAGGATCATTATGCAACACTCAATCTCTCGCAGAATCATTATTGAATGAAAAAATGTAAAGATTGCTGTCTGCGAAACTTACTGGACACGAACGCCTTGTGACTGGTTATTCCACAAGCTTTCCACCATTCTTTGCATAGTCGAAAAATTGGGAGCAGCCCCCAGAAATTGGCCCACCAAGGATGAACTCCATTGAGCAATTCCAACATCGAAAATAGCTTGTGGAGGATGAACAATAGGATTCTAGTCACGGGATTTGGGGGGAAAGTATTGCAGCTCTTGTCCAGGTTGAGAGCCAAATAGCTTCCTCCAATCCATAAGAGTGGAGAATGTCACCACAAAGACGAGGAGGAAACAGAAATATCCAAGAAAAATCATCGGAGACACCTCAGTGCTCAAATCCGTTAGTCCCGCTAACGTGCGCCATAGAACCGGAGACACCACATTCATAATAAAGAGTTACTAAAATAATATTTCATAATTTTTAATAATAAAAAATTTAATAAAATAATATCATATAATTCGATGACTATTTGTATTCTTCATCCTAAATCTTTATAACGAGATAATTCAGTGAGCATAGTATGGTTTAACCTTCTTATTATATTACGAACAGAATAAAAAGGAAAAGTAGTACTGATTTTTGTCAGAGATGTGGGAAGCCACCGGCCCATGAGAATGGCATGGAGAAGCCATTGAGGGAAGAGATATGTGCGGTCTCATCACTCACATGTTATTATTTTATTTTTATTTTTTATTTTTACAATTCATATATTTAATCACTTAATCAATTAAATTAATTTAAAAAATTAGAAAAGTTCATCCTAAGACAATTTTATAATTAAAGATTAATTAGAGTTCATTAAACCATTTTAGTGATAAAAAGTTGTATTTTTTAAAATTTTCGTATTTCAATAGTTACGTTTATAAAGCATTCACATTCATTAAATTAATTAAAAGTATTTTTAATAAATATTATCTTATAATTACTTTAAATTGATTTAAAAAATATTTTGGTTATAACTTTTGAATTTGAACTTAAAATCTAGAATAAATTACGTGTTTAATATCTAAACTATTAGTTTTGGTTCGTTTTAGTAATTAAACTTTTAATTTTTTTTAAAATCATATCTGAAATTTAGTTTGTTTTATTTTAGTACCGACGTTCAAAATCTAATATTAAATTTTGAAAAAAATGATAGTTTAAATATTAAACGTGTTAAATTTTTAACGGTGATATACTAAAATAAAATAAAATATTAAATATCAAATATAATTTTAAAAAATTAAAAATTTAAATACTAAAATAAATTAAAAACTGATCATTTCCATGGACGTAGTTTGTCATAAAATTATTTTATGGCCTAGAGATCAATTATTTTCTGGTTATTTATTTATTTATTTATTTATTTATTTATTGTTTACACAGTGTTTCAAGTTTAAACTGTGTTTCTTGTCATGTTCTGTCTCTCTGCATCTTACTCTATGGTCTGTTTTTGTTCTTTTCTATTTTGTCCTTTTGCTTAAAGCTTCAAACTTTGTAACTTCACCTTTCGGTTTCAAAATTTGCATTTCAATTTCCTTACTCAGCATTTTAAACTTTTATTTATCTTAAACTTTTATTTATTTTTAATTTTTTTAAGAAAAACGGGTCTGAATAAAAATTCCTTCTATGTCTATAAGGGAAAAAAGTGTGCCCTAACAACCAGTATTATCATAAACATAATTGTTGGATAATCAAACGATATAAGTTCAGGATAAACTTAGTTAAAATATAAAGCATTACTCGACCTAAGAGCCCACGTAACTAGAGTTTGAGCTACAGAATTATAAGATCTAGGAGCATAGCAAACCTTGAAATGGATCCTAGCCTCTAGTGTCGTACGAGCTTCCAAAAGGTGATAACCCAACATGAATATATCTTCCTCTTATCGAGATAACTTGTTAACAAGCATCGAGTCCGATTCGAATATGACATGGGTCCAACTATACTCGCTAACCAACAAAAGAGCATCATTGAAAGCGTGAATCTCCAATAGGCCGACTTTAACACAACCTAACAATGCCACAACCATTCCTCCAAGTACCTGGCCGAGAGAGTCATGAGCAATAATTTTAGACATTATGAAATAATTTTCATATTATAAAAATATAAATATTTATATATAAATATAGTTTTTTATAGAAATTTTAAGGAACTCATAAATTTTTTCGAAAGTTTTAAGATACCAAATTAAAACTTTTCAATATTTGAAGGGCTTTATGGCATTTTCCCAAGAGTTTTTTCTTTTGGGAGGGATCCTCGGGACAATACAAGTTTTTTAATCAAAGTATTATAGTTATTTCCTTGATTCGTAATAATTCACACACTTTCCCCGAAAAATATTATAATAATTGGTATTTGGATTTGAGCAAATACAGCCGTAGGACCATTCATCATGGCAAAAAGATTTTAAACGCTTTACCTTTTTGGTAAGGGAGTAGGGTTACTGGGATAAAATTTCAACTTAAATTTTTTTTATATATATTTATATTTATAAAATTTTAGTAGGTAAAAATAATTTTTTAATAAAAATATGTAAATAAATTTAAAATATAAGATAATTTTAAATTTTAAGAAACGATTGTCACCACTTATCTCTCGGTTCATCCCTGTAATTATATGACTCGAAATACCCCTTAGGTGCAATAATTGAAAGACATTGAAATTTATTTTTCTTGGTTCATTATTGAAGTTCTACTTTTCTTTATTTTCTTTCATTATTTTCTTTTCACAATGCTAAATGTGATCTAATCAATGCTTTGCTAAACTTCCACTTGGCCGAAGGTTTTTGTCAAACTCAATTCTAATAGTGAGAATTGAATCTTGATATTCATATCTTCATATTATATTCTTTGATTATCTGAAAACTAGGAGTGACAATCGGTCATTCCCTTAACAGTTATTACATATTCAACTCAAAACGTGCAAATTAATTTGAAGATTGTTTTGCTTGAAGTTTGGAAGCTAGATCGGTTAGTCGTAATTCGACTTCATGTGAACAAACTTAGTGACGATCTGTTAAGAGGAATCAAGATTAAATTTGATTCTCGGTGAGACGCTATAACTCGAGTTGGACTTTTCCATAACTTGAAGTTATTTTAGATTTAACGGCAATAGACGTGGCTAGACCAACAAAGATTTAATCATAGTGATAGACTTGGAAATTTTGATTAACCAATGATAAGAGTTAGCTTTAGGGGTTGGACCTATTAACTGTATACTTGTGTCTATCTCAAATGGATGTCTTCAATGCATTTTTACAAGAAGACTTGCATGAATAAGTGTACATTGAGTTGCCTTAAGGGTTTTGCAGCCAGGGGGAACGTATGGTGTGTAGGCTGTAAAAGTCATTATATGGTTTAAAGGAGGCTTCGAGACAATGGAATGCCAAGCTAACAGAGGCTTTGAGACAATGGAATGCCAAGCTAACAGAGGCTTTGTTAAAAATTTGTTATACTCATATTAGATATGATTATGCTATGTTTTTAAAACAACATGAAGACCGTATAGTGGTGATGCTAATTTACGTTGATGGTTTGTTGATAACGAGAAATAGCATGGAATTGATAGAGGAACTCAAAGGGATATTGAATAAGAACTTCAAAATGAAGGACTTAGGAGAGCTGAAATATTTTCTTAGAATTGAAGTGATGCGATCTAAAGAAGGGATCTTGCTAAATCAGAGGAAATTTGGAGCTTATTAGAGACACTGGACTAGAAGAAGCAAGAATAACCTCAACACCCTTTAGAGTAGAATTTAAAGTTAACCTCAAGTGAATATGATGAAAACGAGTCACAAGATGAGATTTTGTTGGAGGATAAATGTGTTTTTCAGAGGTTGATTGGTAGGTTGATCTATTGAACCCATACTAGGCCTGATATTACCATTTGTCATGCAACATCTTAGCCAGTTCATGCAAGAACCAAAGAAGGTTCACGTGGAGGTAGTTTTACGTGTTGTAAGGTACACTAAACGAAATCCAGGGCAAGGGTTGTTGTTTAAAGCTTTGAGTGAAGAAAAATTAGTGGCTTATTCTGAATCGGATTGGGCATCAAAATCTGTTATCGGTTTCTGTATTAAGCTTGGGGATTCTTTAATATCTTAGAAATCTAAGAAGCAGAATATTATAGAAAGGTGATCTTTGGCAGAAGTAGAATATAGGGGAATGGCGGTTACTACTGTAGAGTTAGTTTGGCTTAAAAGAATGTTGGGAGAGATAAGGGTTAACAATTTGAAGCCTATAAACTTGTATTTTGATAGTAAGGCAACACTCCATATTGCTACTAATATGATTTTTCATGAGCGTACTAAACATATCGAAATCGACTGTCATTTCATTCGTGGGAAGATTCATGAAGGTTTGATATAAATGAAGCACATATCAACAACATAACAAATAACAGATCTAATGACCAAAGCTCTATGGTCACAACAACAAAATTATATGTGTTCCAAGTTGGGGATAAAGAACGTCTTTCACCCGTCAACTTGAGGGGGAGTGTTTAGATAAATAGTTAAGTTGTTAAATTAGTTGAGTTACACTAGTTATCTTTGTATATAAACAACAATTTGTTTACTTTACATATATATAAAATTAGAGTTTTTTTTTTTACTTTCGGTTCAAGATTTATTCTGTTTAACATTTTTTTAATTTTGTTAAAATTTAATATTATTTAATGGTTTTATCATATGAAATATATTGATTCATTTAATAAAAATATAATTTAAATAAATTTGTATGATAAAGAGATTGGTTTAAATCAATATAACTTTAATTTTGAAGTGTAGAAAAATAAAAATACATATCGATTTAAATGTGTATATAGGAGTCAATTATTAGCTGAATTTTAGAGTTTTCAAGCTTTTTTCTTAAAAATTGAATCCCACCCAAGTATCGAAAGAATCGAAGGTTATTTTTTTAATAATACCACCTTAATTTCATTAATAAAAATTATATTTTCCATTGAGAATGACAACCAACATCAAAAGAATATAGTAACCTTCATAAAAATTTATTGTCTCGGTCGAATGAGACGCTTTACAGAGTGGTAAATGAGTGGTGAGTGAACCAAACAATCTGATAGTTTGTTTTGCTACACAATTTTGATTATATCGGTAAACAACATTTTACCAAATATAAGATCTAACTATACGTGACCATCGAAAAATTAATCAGAAAATAAATATAATAATTATTTTCATGCGAGCACTAAAACAACTGTAAAGGTAGGTAAAAAAACGTACCAAAAATTATTGATGGAGCTAGTATATATTGAGGGGGTGTCAAACAATTGACACCCCAAACGTTTCTAAACTTATTTTTTTGCCAATATTTATATATAATAAAAATGACACCCTTTTAGAAAAGTTTTGACACCCTTGAAAAAAGAAATTGACACCATATTTTAAAAATATTAAAAATTAAAAAAATTAATTTAAATACAAAGCATATATGTAATTAGTGGTCCTACGTGTGATAAATACATAAATACAAAGCATATATGTAATTTCAACTCACCAAACATAAACTCTTTATAATTTTTTTTTTCATGATTTTATTATGATCCCAAAATTTTCAAAACACATTATAAGTTCAAATGGGGCCCATTAACATGCTCTTCCCAAAGTATTGTGCTCCATTATTCAAACTAAAATCCATATTGTAAACCCTAAATGGTAGAAAATCATAGGCAAATTTAATATGGTGGGGTCATTGCTTTTTTCCAAATATTTGTATATTGTATTTTAAGTTTTTTTATTAAATTAAATTTAAAATATTAATATTACTATATATAAAATTTAATACAATTTAGATCGTTATAAATTAAAAATAAATCGAATTAAATATGTTCAGGTCTGAAAGAAATTGAAACCAATCAAATAAACTTTAAACTGTTTACATATATATATATATATATATATATATATATATATATATATATATATATATATATATATATATATATATATATATATATTCGACTCTCAAGATTATGGGAGAGTCTAAAATATATTAATAAATGTAACATAAAAATATATTGCAATAGGTCGTAATTAAAAAAATTTCTTAACTGCGTAAGTCTATAGAGTAAGCTCGATATTTTTCTAAGTTAAAATAAAAATGTTATGTTCTCCATAATAAATCATATAAATTATATAATTATTTTCATTTCAATATAAATTTTATTGATAAATTCAAGTAACTTTATCAAGTGTAATTGAAATTATTATTAATTGTAAAATATTTTAGCGTTTCACATCAAGGGTGAGCCTTGGACATTAAAAAAAAACTTGGGTTTAATCAAAAGTTGGTTTAAGTGATAAACAGTTTGTTATCACTTAAGTAAGGTCTCGGGTTCGAGTTATTGTGTATACAAAAAATCTCAAATGGGAGATACCCACCAAAATTAAATGTGTGGCACAAATCAATCCAAATTAATCAAGGTAAAATCATGAAAGCATGGGGACAATTAAAAAAAAAAACTTATTTTGGCCTCTTTCGATTGACGAGTCTTCAAGGTCATGTCTTCGACTTTTCATAACCCTTGACCGGAAGAAGTTGCTGCTGCATTGATTCTATTAAAGTCACCAAGGGTTCCCCCACGGCTCCTCAATTGTTTTAAAACGGGAGTTAATAGACTTTTGAAAGTGTTATCATATAATTTATATATTTTATTAATAATATAATTTTCAACCTTTTAAATTTATAATATAAATTCCTAAATGTGCATCTCTTAGTGTAAAATATTTCCGTGTGTAATTGTGGCTAATATTTGATGATGCCTACTTTTAACTGTTTGGATTGGAATCCTATACATGTGTTTCCAAATGGGCCGATTGACGATCACTACTTGGAGTGATGTAGCTTTTGAAATGGGCTAATTTGTGATTGTGACAACAGGAATCTTGAGAAGATACAATGACAATGTGTCGTTTGGATCATGTAAAACAAAGGCAGTGGTTAAATTGGTGGCTGGTAACTTTGGTGAAATTAACGGGTTGGGGATTGCTGATGGAGAGGGGTTGGGACAGAACCACCTTACCAGACTCGTCCGAGGGGTGGAGCAGCTGACCTGAGAGGGGGACAAATTACTTTAAAAGCTAGCAATAAGAGGATGAAATGGGCATGTTACAGTCCCAAAACAGTTGAACAAGTATCCGAAGATAAGAGTGCCACCGCAATATGGTGTAGATTACCTTGCAGGGAGAGATATGCTTCTATCCTACCACACTTGGTGGTGGGAGGGAATGTGGAAGGGCTCCCCAGTAGGATTGAGTGCCTTGCGATACCCGATGATGCCGAAGTTGTGTATGTAGTGGGGCTAGGCGAGGCCAAACTCACTGATGTACATGTGGATAGTGAGGAGATCCGGTCAAGCAACCTAAAATATCAACGGTGAAATGGGAGTAGGAAAATCAATACCTTGACCATATATGTATATGTAAAGTTTCAATTAAATGTATGCTATCAAAGCCAGATTCTGGTGAAATATATTATATATATATATATATATATATATATAGAAAAATCCCAGAAACCATGCTGTAAAACCTTCCAAAAATCTCTTATGGGAAGATTTGGACATTCATTATACTTTTTGAAATCTTTCTTTGCTAAGTTTTCTATCCATTAATCTTTTTATTAAAGCAAATAGAAGGTAGAAGGCTCTAGTTTTAGTCTTCCATCAATGGCTGAACAACCATAAGGCAAGGTAATCATCGTTTTCTTCATTTACACACACACACACACACACACACACACACACACACACACACACACACTAACAGGAACTCTCAATTTTCTTGTAGACTTTAGTTCTGCAATTGGATACTGATCTTCCAGGATGGCAAGCAACAATGATAAAACTTTTCAAGTCTATTCAAGGTTTTGTCTCTTTTGTATATATTATTTTTATTTATTTAAATAAGATTTTATTATATTTTGTTGGGTTTTATCAGATGTATCATACTCCATTGATGCACAAACAAGGTTTGCACATGTTTCTGGCACAATTAACAAAGAGCTTCTGCTAAAGTCGCTAGCGAAATCCAACACACATGCTTTTACTCATCACATAAACTATGGAATCAATCTTCCAAAACACTCGTCAGAACCTCTAATGGTGAACCGAACTTGAAAATTTCTTTACAATCCCCATTTTTATTCATTGAAAATAGTTAAAAGAAGTGCAAAATTTTGCCTGCAGAAATGTGTTTTGCAAGTGGATACTGATATTCCTGATTGGCACAAAGGAATGTGTCTTTTATTCGAGTCTATGGAAGGTGTGACATTTAGCATAAATGCATTTACAAGACAAGCTTATATTTCTGGGAAAATAGACCCTCTGCTGCAGATGAAGTTGCTAGCGAAAGCTGAGGCAACCGGAGCTCGACTTTGCTGGTTATATTATGGATGCGAAGTTGATCTCTATGGGAGACTAGTTCACAATGAGCCTGAGCCTGAGCCTGAGCCTAAGGATGAGGCCATGAACAGTTCAGCTCCCACCTCCAAACCCAAAAATTCCTTTTGCTGTTTGATGTAAAGTTTGTTGGGGTTTTAATTTTGTTGTTTGAGTAGCTGGTGTTAAAGGTTTCATGTGTTTTATGATTGTAAGCAGCCAACAGAATTATCAAGTACAAGATGTTTAAGATACATTGATGGTGAAGTTTTTGGATGAATTTAATTTCTTAATCCTATGAATAAATCCTTGAGAAAACTAGCTTTTATTCCCGTTTTTGAATTTGTCTAACGGTTTGTATAAATTTTAATTTTATCTCACTAATTCAAACTCATCAAGTGATCTTAATGATTAAAGTGAGTATTCTTCTTCCTAAAGACCCCAGATTCAAGCAACAATATATGCAGACCACAGGGTGTGCACAAGTTCATTGTGACATTGTCAATTGATTGAGATCGACTAAATTCTATCTTATAGTCACATTCCAAATGAATAAAAAAATAATCTCACCTATTCAATCGATTGATTGTGAAAAAAATATCTTATCATAATCTAAAAAAAAAGCACCAAATATGCTAGATTCTAAGTAGCTAATCAATTTTGAAATGGCAACATATCCAAATAATAATTGCAATAATTCTGAGATATACAGGGTAAGATTTCATGGGATTTAGTAAAATATATATTTTTATTTCCAAAATATTGATGAAATTCTTAGTCACTGAATAATGGAGGAAATTTCTCCAAAATCCCATCTTAATTTCTTGATCTCCTTTGATATACTTAATTACGCTAATTAACTTCCTTAACATGATTTTTCTTATATATATATATATATATCACCTAATATTTTTGTTTTCCATTACCTACAAGGAACTTTCTCTTCAGCTTCAAGGCAAAGAAAGAACAATCTCAGTTATGGATCATCCAACTGACTACATGGTTTCACCCAAACTGTTATAATTATTTCTCAGTAGATTCAGCATTTCCTTTTAGAAATACTAATTAGTATCAGTCTGATGTTTTTTTCTGGGCTCTGTTGTCTGATCAGAACTGTATTCTAAGGGTCGATACTAGGTTTGTCGGATGGTGAGTGATGCTCGCCAGGGTCTTGGACAGCATTGATGGTTGTTCTCTACTTGTTAATTTCTTAAGGAACAAGTCACTTAATGGTATTTAATTCTGTTTTGGTTTGTGTTTGTATTAGTTTAATTTGCATTGGTTGGTTTCCTTTAGGAGTCACTTATAACATTGATGGAGAGAAGGGACATGTCCAAATAACAGGAAGGATAAACCCCAGACAACTTATGAAGACCCTCGCAGAAGTAGGGTTACATGCGGATCTTTCTCGGGTGAGTTCCGGATATGGAGAGATGAGCGTCCCTTCGAGACACAGCTATGATTACCCGTACCATGGCCACTACGGATATAATCCTTATGGACAACCACAGAATTATCATGGCTATCCTCCTCAACAAAGAAATTGGCACCCCATATATGAAAACTACCCACATTACCTGCATTATAATCAGAATTGTCCTTCCTACGAGCCACAGGCCGAATACTTTCCCCAGCAGCTGCCGCAACCGGAAGGCTTTCGTAATGGTGACCCTGAGTGGTGCACCATAATGTGGAAGACATTACCTATTTGGCCTATGGTTCTTCTGCAGGAAACCTTTATAGTTGTTAAATACCCATGCTTTTAGAAACAGGTATCTTAGCAAACAATCGCTTGTTATAGTGAATGTACGCATAGAATCAACCAAGTACAAGCTTTAATATCTTTTTTTTCCAGAAATAGAGTGATCTATTCTCACATTTCATAGTAGAATTCTGATAAAATGACAGACGGATTCACAAATCAATGTATTATTAGTTCATGTATCTCTGAGAAATTTGTCTCACATACCCGTGAAGCTTGGCGGAGTTACCGTTCGCTTCTCATTTCTGTTTCATGCTTTCCTTTATCGGGATAAGGCAGATCATAAAACTCTGCCAAATATGCCAAAGCATCAGAATTATTGTTACAGATCTTCCACAATGACGAAACCTCTCCCTTAGAAACGGTACCCCAGTGCTCACAATCATCGAGAAAGTCCAACAGTTTTGCATAAAACGAGTGGTAGTTCATTACAATGAAGGGAACTGGAAGCTCTGATCCAATCCTTTCAAGCTGAATCAATGCCAAAATCTCAATCATCTCATCAAGTGTACCAACCCCTCCGGGGAGAGCAACCACAGTTGTCTTATCAGAGTTTGAACTCCGAACTGCAGCATCAACCAACCCATGCTTTCTAGCAGAGAAAAACCTGCATTTTTATTTCAGGATCATTCAAAAGCATAGAACTAGAACACTGTTGTTAAACTGTTAGAAACAGAAACATTCACCTGCATGTAAGATAAGTCACCGAGGGCAGGTACGGATGAAAATTTGAGGACGTCCATTCTCCAGCTTCCTTACCTATCTTAAACCCACCGACCGCCTTTCCTACTTCCTGAGCACCCTTAATAGCAGCATCCATGAGGCCAGGACCAGCCCCAGTCCACGTTGTACAGTCCAAAAGGTTAGCTATCTGTTAAGCAGGAAAACAAAACATATAAAAAGGATGGAGCAAGAAAAAAAAAAGAACCACTAGGGAAAATTATTCCAAAGTATACGACTTTCTCTAAAAACCTTTACCGGGATACACAAAAGCTCTATAAATTAACTTGCCTCTCTAGAAAGCTCCTGCGTTTGTGAGTAATGTGGATGGCCAGGTCCCATCCTCGACGAACCCAAGTACACAACTCCCCTCCCAAGTCTGTGTATGAGTTCATAGCATTGGTCTATCTCTTTCCTGACCTTTCAATTTAAGTAGCAAATAAGCTTCTCATTCCACAGCAGTCACACCAACAATATATCCCAGCATAGTACATATATAACCAGAAGAAGGTGCCATCCATTATGCTAAGTTGAAATGAAAAAAATGGGAGCAATTCAACTTTTATATCTCCAAGAAAACACTTAAGCTAAGCATGCTAAAAAATCCTAACCATCACAAACAAAACAAAAGCCAAAAAAATATAACCAACATGTATATTTGCACAGAGATTTTGCTGGAATAATATGAAATCAAGTCTAATTCTCTAAAGAAGCTATTAAAATCCAAATCTATGGCTATCCACAATCAGCATTCTCCAGGCTATCCAAAAGATTACCTCATTTGGGCTTGTTCTTTCTTCAAAGCCAACAAACTCACTCTTGCAAAGGGGAATAAGCCCTGAAATTCTTAGTCAGGTTGAAGCCAAGAAGAAACCTCTCTTTCAAAGTGAAAGACTGAAACTTGGGATTCCAGTCATGGGAACCTCTCACGGAAACATAAGAACCAGAGGTACCTAACAGTGCAAACCCCATCTAAATACCCTCTAAATGTATCCAATGCTAGATTTTGCATACCCTGATGGATTCAAGGAAGTGGGTTATGTGTTGTAACAACAAAAGGAAAGGGGGAATCAAATTGGTATCCTATAATTTGCAAGCTGTAAGGGGGTTTTGGAGAGAGAAAGGAATAAATTTATCCCAATTTGCTTTCCTTGTTGCCATTGTTGAGCAAAGGTGGGAGCTTTTAGTTGTTCCCAATCTGATAAAGACAAAAATGTTTCTGAAATCTCAAATATACAACATCCAGTAATAATAATTGTTCTAAAAGCTGTGAACTTGTTCACCCACTGCTTAGTTTACACTAACATAAACCCAACCAAACAGGATATAGAAGTCATTTCGCAAAAGCTAGGGTTTTCGTGCACACTCAAAGCTCAAACTTTTTTACCCACTGCTTTATTACATAGATTTGCTTCAACACTCAAAACCCCCTGGAAAAGGCTTGAGCTTTCTCTCAGTCAAAATGGATATATCTCAAATTTCTCTAATATTTTTTTCATCAATATTCTAAATTATGTTTTTCTCCTGAATTTTCTTGCTTAATGAGTTTAATTCCATTTTTCTGGTAGGTATATCTCATGATTCTGTGCACAAGAGGCGTGCCACTGGTGGAAAAAAGAAGCTTGGAGGAAGAAGAGAGTAATTCTCAAAACTCTTCCTTATTTGTTGTCCTTTGATTGCTTTCTTATCATTTTTATCTGGTTGGTTGCTTGGAAAATTGATTTAGAATCAATTAAAAAATGGGGTTCTGTTCTTGTACTTTACCTAAACAAATGTTGAGCTTTATTGTTTTGGTACTTAAGTTGCTTGTGATTTCATTACCATAAAGTATGCTCTTTATTATGACATGACTTTAAAAGTTGATATTTTCTTGTTTGATTGGATGCCAGAGACCTTATACGGTTTATTTGTTACCTATTGGTTTGTATCACTTGATTTTTCAATCTTAATTTATCCCAACTTTTGATGGCTTATTTGAAAAGGTATGAGCTCGGAAGGCAACCGGCGAACACTAAAATGTGTTTCTAAAATGTGTCGATGACAGTGTTTCTAAAATGTGTTTCTCAAAGGTATGAGCCAGTGGTGGTTGTGGTGGCTGGAGGCGAAGTAAAAGTAAAGAGAGATGGAGTTTTAAGTCGTGAATCATGACTTTTGCGTTTCTAAAATGTGTCGATCTCTTCTTGAGTATTCATCACGAAAGATCCGAATTGCACCAAAAGTTCACACAATGGTTCACCCCCTACTAAAATAAGCCTCAGCAACTTAGATGATTTGTTCCACGCCTCCAAGCCATCCCCAGGTCCTAGGAGCAAGAGGTGCTGTGCATTCACCGATGATGATTTCGACCGACCGAAGATACCCTCTCCTTCCAGCACATAAACAAAGGCATTCCACGATCCTGGAATCGGCTGTCGAAGGTGAGCTCCCGGTTCTAGAGTGAAATCCAAGTGCATTGTTGGGGTTAGGGTATAAATTGCAGACTTGGTCCCCAATGCCTCACCGACTATAACTCGAACTTTGATCCCGTCTTTCGTAGCTTCCGTGATGTCCTTACTCGGTACTTCTTGATACATCAGCTCGATCCTACAAAATGGAACATAGAGATTAAAATGCAGCTCGAATTCGAAATCAGTTCGATAAAACATCCTCATTGAAACTTACATTTTGTATTTGGAGGAGAGATTGATCCATAACTGGAGACCTTTCTGGGTTCCTTGAGCTGCTGGCATCTCCGAGTGAACAATGCAGTCATCCATTGCAGATCACCGGGGCCATTATGCCCTTCAAAATCTTCATGTTTAACTGCTCCCTGATAGTTCAACCAATTGTATGCCTCTGAAGGAAATTTTTTTTTCATACAATTTACATAAAAATGTTGCTTGAGTGATCAACGTCAGTACCTGTAACATGTAGGTTACAGTCTCAAATCCTGTTAACACAAAACAGAGGATATATATACATAAGAATCAACATATTTTCCCAGAAACAGAGTCCACTTTCTCGAGAAAATAAAATCAAACCTGTGTGGATGATCTGGAAATCCAGCTGGTGCTGTCAATGCAAAATTCAAAACCAAAAACTTAACATCAAATATATATATATACAGACCATGAAAAAACAAAGCAAAAACAGAGGAAACTAGCCTGAAAATTCATCCAAAACGAGGAAAGGATCAAAGTATCTCAACTCAAACCTGCAAAAAAACAAAAGATACCCTTTATTCCAAACACCTCAAATTCATCAAATTTCCAGTCTTTTTAGTATCTTACCGGCCGATGCTTCTTCTGAAAACTGCTCCAACTCCTTCGGGTTGTGGCCTAGCCAGAAACTTCCTCACCGGCACTAGCCTTGGTTCATTCAAACCAGCACATGAACCCTCTTTCTTAAGCATCTTCCCTCTTCTTGTTGTCCGTTTATTTTCAGCAACAAAAAACGATTGTACGAGTTTGTGAAGAATTCAAATGAATATATATATATATAAGGAGAAAGCAAGAAAAAAAAGGGGGGGAACAGTGTTGATTGTAAAATATTTTTGGAAGGCCAAAGAAGGCTGACATGGGACATGGAAGTTTCCTTGAGCTTAATCGTGGACGTCAGCATGGCGTTGCCATGAAGTGGGGGTGATGCATATTTTGATCACGTCCATTGAATGATCGACACGTGTATAATCAGGGTCCATTTGGTTGTCCTAAGTGGACTCTCCAGGGGTCCTAGCCATGAATGAATTTGGTGGGGGAATAGAAAGATTTTAAAGGCATGAATATGGTTATCGGTCCACAAAAGCATATTCTTATTGCGTATTTATTCTTTTTTCCAAAGTTTTTTAGGGCCGTGGCTGTTTTGTTCTTTCCCTTATTCCCCTGCAAAAAGGGGAATAAGTTGGCCCCAATTCATCTGTCCTTGCTAACCTTTGAAGATGTATATTCCAATTATATTTTGAGTTCTAATCTTATAGATTTAATATTAAAAAATGTCTCTAAATGTTTCATCATACAGTGATTTTAGTCCATAACGTCTCATTTTTGATCAAAAAACTTCTAACGTCTGACTAAATAGCTATTTTAGTTTTTATTCTTATTTTAGATTACTTTGGACCCTAACATTTTATTTAGGGTAAAAATGCTTTTATTTTAGAACGTTCACAGTTTGTTGACAAATGATTTTCATCCACGGTGAAGTCTTTTTACCCCAAAGTGAAATATTAGTGACCAAAATGCTAAAATACAAAGACTAAAATAATTCTTTAATCAATTATTAGGATTAATTTTTCTTATTCTAATATTTGAATCATTGACTCTCTAACGACTCCATGTTAAAAGTATTGTTGAAAACATTTTGATATTTCGATGAAACAAATTAAGTTAAATGAATTTTAAGATTTTACAAATGATTTTCTAAGGTATATTCGAATTAATTAATCGGATATCAAATTATTACTCCAAGTCTTTCAAGATCAATTTTAATCCTTACTAAATGTGTAAAATTGTGATTTGTACTTAAACTATTTTTGAAACAATTTTTACAAAGTATTTTGAACCAAAATCAAGCCTTAAATCAATTTTTCAAATGCATGCACCGATGCACCAATCCATGCATCGATGCATCAATTACTTTCTTGTACATCGAATGCATTTTATGCATCGATGCACATACCATGCATCGATGCACTCGGTGCATTTGATGCATCGATGCACAAGACCATGCATAGATGCACTCAGGTTTTTTCAAAACATCGAATGCATTTTATGCATCGATGCACTCTTAGTGCACTGATGCACTGAGAGTCCAACGGTCAAAATATTTGAATTTTATACTGATGCACCGATGCACCTAGGGTATGCATCGATGCATGAGACGCTCCCAACCACTAATATTAATTGTTTTCACATTTAAACGGCTCTATTGACTTCACTAATCATCCCCAACGTTCAGAATCAATTGAAGGTGTATTTAAACAAGCTTAGAAGCCATTGATCAACAACAAGAAACAACAAGCAACTAGAATCAAGAGAGAATCAAAGAGAAAGCATCAAACCTCAAGTTTGTGCATTTCAATCCTATTTTTCATTCAATATTCATTTTGCTTTCAAGAACACTTCTTGTACTCAATTGTATTCATTTTTGAGTGTTCTTTTCTTTGTTCTAGAATTGTGCAAACAATCTACCTTGTGAGGATTTCCTTGTAAGTTTGCAAATTTATATTATTCTCTTTGGGAGAGAGTGTTCTCAAGAATTTTGAGTATAATTCTTGAGGGTTTGTAAGGTTACTCTATGTCCTCAAAAGAAAGACAAATTAGTTAATTTATGAAAAATCCTTAGTGTGGATAGCTAAGGTAGTGGACGTAGACTTTGGTTTGAGAAAGTCGAACCACTCTAAATCGCTGTGCAATTACTTTTAATTTTCTGCAAAAGCTTCCACCAAATTTTTAATTTCCAATTCACCCCCTCTTGACCGATTCCGTTAATCGATTAACTCAACAATTGGTATCAGAGCCTCACTCATTTGAAGGTTTAATCGCCTCTTGAGTCGATTCGGGAAGAGTTACATCGATTATCAAGTCATCAATGGCCTCTGCTTCAAATTACGACTCCGGTCTTGATTCGATGCCCGTCAACAAGCCTCCTTTCTTCAATTGAGCTAACTATGCCTATTGGAAAAATAGGATGATGTACTTCATTCAAGCAAGTGACATGGGAGCATGGAATGCCGTAGAAGAAGGATACATCAAGCCTCTCACTCATCCAAGGTTGTAGAGTGAAGGAGAGACAAGAATGTTCCAGCTCAACTCCAAAGCCATCCATATCATATTTTGTGCTCTTGGACCAGATGAATACGGAAGAGTTTCATCTTGTACAACTGCCAAAGAAATATGGGACAAACTTCAAGTCACTCATGAAGGTACCAATGAGGTAAAGAAATCTAAAATTAGTATTCTAACGCATAGCTATGAAAATTTCAGGATGAAACCAAATGAAGATATCAAAGCTATGACGGATAGATTTTCAACGATTGTCAATGGTCTCAAATCATATGGAGAGATCATTTCAAATGAAAAGCTTGTGAGGAAGTTAGTCTACTCCCTTCTAAAATCGTGGCAATCTATAACACCCGTAACCCGTATATTTATACCTATACAGATTACGGATGTCACCCGTATTTTCTAAAACTATTTCAAAATTCAAAAGCGATTTAAAATTTATTTTCTTAAAATAGTAAATGATATTATAATATTATCATATCATAAAAAATTACGTTTCGTTGTAACCAATTTAATTCAAAATATTTTTATTTATGAATAGTGAATAGTACCCGAACAGTGAACAGTGAACAGTGGACAGTGGGGGAATCGATTCCCTGTAGCAGGGGAATCGATTCCCTGTAGCAGGGGAATCGATACTCCTTTTACAATTTGGAAAATTTGGTTTAAAACGGGGTTACTGTTCATGCTACAGTAACTTTCGAAAATTTACATATAAAACTCATAAAAATTAACCTTTCATCACTATAAAAATTCCCAAAAATTTACTCAATAATTAAATTAAACATTTCTAAATTACATGTCACTATCTAAAATCAAATTTCACAATAGGATGTCTTACTGATATTGAAATATACCTCTCGATGCTTGATGTCGTTCTGAACTCTTTATTCTTATTCTTTGCTTTTTACCTACGCGTGAAAATCATCACACGCTAAGTATAAACTTAGTGAGGCAATTAAAACAATATAGTGCAATACATTCATGCATGAATTTAGATTTCAAATCCAATGCCATAAAACCATGCTAATAGCATCTTCAATATTTTGCCATGATCAATATAATATCAATTTCTTACCTTTTATCCCATAAGCTCATAAGCTTATTTTTACCAAAATACTTACCATTTAAAATTCCATAAGCTCGTAAGCTTTTTTTTTTCAATATACTTGCCATTATTCCGTAAGCTCATAAGCTTATTTGCATGGTTACCATTATTAACCAATAAAACATAATCCATAGTCAATAAACCGTAGACAATAGCCCAATATACACCCTGAGGACCCTGGGTATTCGAGTAAAATACCTGCACCGTAGTGCTAAACCTGCACTAAGCTTACGCCATAGTGCTAATCGGACAATACACATAAGGTCGTGCCCACCACCTACACTAAGCTTACGCTATAGTGCTAATCCGGATATAAACCTGCACTTAGTGTCCTTACACACTATAGTGCTAATATAAACCTGCAGCTGCTATACTCTATGGCATGCCAACTATACCCTATCCCTCAATGACTTACTTGGGCATATAGTCTATTTTATTCAATTCATCCATGGCAAAGTATATTATCAATATTTAACATTGGGCAGTTCATACCCGAAAACATTCATGGTAAAATATCACATTTTTCATAATCAATGCATTTTGATTTCATACTCTGACATATCAATGTCAATTTATAAAAATGATATAAAATCATGCCGATATAAACAAGGTCGACTTATCGCAAGTCTTCCTTATGATGTATAAAACATCCATGTATAATTTCATGCATGTATTGCACTCACCTTGACACTTTATATCTTTCAAAATATATAAGCCTCACTATTGTCCACCATAAGCCCTTTTATATTT